ATGTGTGTAGATATTATACATATGCGGCCAATTCACGTATATGCTACTTTTCATTTATACTACAAAAGACCGTACGAAATGGCAACCAACTCACATATAAGCGAAACGAAATTAATTCAATCACGACCTAGCATAAATCTAGCTTTCTCCTATAAAATAAAAACAAAATAAATATATGTTGGCTTTCACAATTCAATCTGTATTCACGTGGTCATGCATAGTCACGAAGTAAAAAGATCTAGTACATGACCGACCCTTGACACCATATTTACGAAATTTCGCCGTTGGATAAAAGATTTCTAGTAGTGCATCGTCAACCTTGCAACCACATTTTGAGTTATCACCACAGGTAAATCGGTTCGAAGCCAAGTATTTTTCTCGACCTCGCAACGTCATATTCAATATTTAGGTTCAATCTTTTTCATATTTTCACCAATAACGAAAATTGTGATGTGAGAATTTTGGGATTGTTACTCGCCAAAAATATGCATGACGTCTTTGTAGTACAAACTCATTAGTACCAATAATTGAGGCGAGCATTAGTCTCCTTCATGACCGAGTGATACCAAACAAAAAGGTTTGAAGTATTTTGTTTTGTGGCTGTGATGCCATGTTAAAAAAATGTTAGGGGATGCAAAATATTGTTTGTTAAACATATCATAATTTATATAAACCATATATAATATGTAATATAATAGTTCGTAATAGTATTATTGCTGTGTCATCATCTTATTTCAATTTCGTTAACAAACTATCATATAGCATACTTCATCAATTTAAAGAAAAAAAATTGCTTGCGAATTGCACCAGCGTTGTTTTAAATTCTTTTTTTTTTATCAAAAAAGAAAAAAAATTGCACTAGCGAATCTAATTTACAACAGAAAGACTTAAAGGAAAGTCAAAGTCCTTATAATCGATAGAATATGTGTGCGTAAAATAAAATTCGTAGCTAGGTCTATACATAAACTATATTTTTAAATAATTCGTTATGTATATATAGAAGCATGCCACTATAAAGAAGAAGAAAGGTTAAAGATCACGATCTATCATGAACATACACGTCTCTTCAACTTTACAAATTATTCATATGGGTAGTTTAATATCGAACAAAAGCATATGTTTTCAAATATACTATTACTCTATGAGCCGGCAATCAAGCTACTTGTTGA